CCCCCCCCGAGCGACGGGCTCAGGCTCTCTGCAGACTCAGGCAGGGAAGAGTGGCCCATTATAAAGCAGGCCAAGGAGATAATCTATTCCATGGGTGGCTGGTGGAACTCCCTGCCACAGGACGTTGCTGATCCTCAGGAGATTCGAATCAGGACTGACGCTTATATGGGCTGTCAGACCAGCCCGAGAGAAAGGAAAATGATGGGACTGTAACCCCGTCGTGGGAGCTGGGCGGGAGCGCCCCGAGCCGCCCCCTAGGGAGAGGAGATGGCAGGTTGCTCACTCGGGGGGGCGTGGCAGCTGCTGGAGATAGGAGTGAGCGGTAGGGCCAGGGATGGAACCCAGGAGTACGGGGTAAGTGTCCCTGCAGCAGTAATGGGGCTTCTGGGTGCTGCCCCCAACTTACCCAGCTTCACCTCGGCGTTCTCTGTGAGCAGCACGTTCTGCCCTTTGATGTCCCGGTGGATCACCTTGTGGGCGTGGAGGTGAGCCAGGCCCTAGGGGGGCAGGGAAACGTCGGCTGAGATCCAGTCACAGGAACTCAGGAGTCCCGGCTCCCAGCCCCCCCTGCTCCAACCCACCAGCCCCCACTCCCCTCCCAGAGCTGGGGAGAGAACCCAGGAGTCCGGGCTCCCAGCCCCCCCTGCTCTAACCCACCAGCCCTCACTCCCCTCCCAGAGCCGGGGAGAGAACCCAGGAGTCCTGGCTCCCAGCATTCTGGCGGTGGGGGCGCAGAGGGCGGGCCCAGCATACCCGCAGGATCTCCCGGCAGATATACGCGATGCAGTCCTCCTTCAGCGCGTTGCCCTTGGTGTTCTTGACCAGGTCCGTGACGGAACCGGCCCCGCAGAACTCCATCACCAGCTGGGGGGAGCACAGAGTTACCGGCCCGGCCCCCCTGACGCCGCGCGAGCCGCTGGGCAGGGGCAGCCCCAAGGACGGGGCCGGGTGCGAACGGAGGGGAGAGATGGCCACAGGGTCTCAGTGCGGCACAGACAGCGCCCGAGCTCGGGGCCCCGCCGCACCAGGCGCTGCACAGAGCCAGAGAGCTGGTCCGTGAGAGAGCAGCCCCTGACTGGCCCCTGCTCTGAGCCCGGGTGCCACCAGCCCGAGCAGCGGGCCCCGGCTCTTTGCGGGCTCTCCCGAGGGGCTGCCCGCCACGCCACGCCCCGCCACGCCTGCCCCACGCACCCACAGCTGGTCATCGTTCCCGGGCGGGCTCTTCTTGATGAAGGCGCCGTAGTAGGTGGCGATGTTGCGGTGGTGGGAGTATTTCTTCAGCATGTTGATCTCCTGCTTGATTTCCTCCTCCTCGTCCTGGCGGGGCGGAAAGGACCCAGGTTACAGGGAGCTGGGGTGCCCCTCACTCCCGACCCACAGCCTCTGCTAGCCCAGCCCTGCCCCCCTAGCTTTGGGGTGCCCCTCACTCCCGACCCGCAGCCCTTGCTAGCCCGGCCCTGGGCCCCCCAGCCCTGCTGGTGCCCCTCACTCCTGACCCGCAGCCCCTGCCGGCCCAGCCCTGGGCCCCCTAGCCCTGCCAGTGCCCCTCACTCCCGACGCGCAGCCCCTGCTAGCCCAGCTCTGCCCCCCCCAGCCCTGCCGGTGCCCATCACTCCCGACCCGCAGCCCCTGCTAGCCCAGCCCTGCCCCCCCCAGCCCTGCCAGTGCCCCTCACTCCCGACCCGCAGCCCCTGCCAGCCCAGCCCAGCTCGGGAGGGGTGTGCCCGGTGCAGAGGAGGCATGCCAGGTTGCTCGGGGGATGGAGAGCCGACCCTAGCCGAGCAGGCTGGCAGAGCGAGGTTGGGGTAAGCGCCCCCGGGGGCAGAGGAGCGCTGGGCGCCCGAGAGCAGGGGGAGCTGGAGAGGAGGAGACGGGTTTGACCCAGCAGAGCCTGGCCTGCCCTTGGCAGCAGGGGCAGATGCCCTCTGGGCCCAGGACTGTCCCCAGCCAGAGCCCGCTGGGCCGTGCAGCTGAATCCAGCCACCCAACGCACCTCCCGGCTGGCCAGGGGCTGGGGGGGGGGGGAGACAGGGCACCCCCAGGGAAGGGGAGGGGGCAGCGGCTGCAGTTCCAGACAGGTGAGGTCCCAGGGGCTCACGTCGGGGTGCCCCCCACCCCGATCCTTCTTACCTCGGTGACGTCCATGACTTTGATGGCTGCCAGCTGCCCTGTCTTGACATGGCGGCCCTGGGGAGGCAAAGGCAGAGCGAGGGGGTCAGCCCGTGACGTGGGGTGCACGGGGGAGTAGGGAGGGCTCCTCTCCACCGGCACAGCGCTCGGACCCGACAGAACTGACCGCCACTGGATCTTCGCGGCAATGGACAGTATCAGGCTTTGGGGCAGAGCTAGGGTTACCATATTTAAGGTTTTGAAAAAGAGGACACTCCACAGGGCCTTGGCCCCGCCCCTTCCCCAAAGTCCCCGCCCCAACTCCGCCCCTACCCCAAAGTCCCCGCCCCAACTCCGCCCCCTCCCCTGAGCACCCTGCATTCCCCCTCCTCCTCCCTCCCAGCCACGCAAAAAGGGCTGCCCGAGCGCTACCGGCTTCACGGTTTGTCGGGCAGCCCCCAGACCTCCAGACCCTGTGCCCCCGGCCGGGCACTTCCCCTCCCGGGCTCCGGGGGCGCAGGGTCCGGAGGCATGGGGGCTGCCCGAAGCCGGTAACGCTCGGGAAGCTCGGCGCTTACAGAGCCCCGGAGCCAGGGAGCAGCAGCCGCCGGAGCCCGCTCTAAGGGAAGCCAGGGATGCCGGAAGCTGGGAGTATTTTTCCCGGACACGTTCGGCTTTTTGGAAATTCCCCCCGGACGGGGGGTTGATTACCAAAAAGCCGGACATGTCCAGGAAAAACCGGACGTATGGTAACCCTAGGCAGAGCTGACCCATGACTAACAGGGAGGGAGAAATTTCCCCACCCCCCTGCAGACCATGGGGCTGGGGTACGTGTGTGATTAACAAGCCCCTGGGAGATTGGGCCTCCGTTCTGCTGGGCGCTGCCCAGACCACCCGCCTGCCCCCCAGCTGAGATCAGGGTCCCGTTGTGCTGGGCTCCACGCATGGTGCTGTACAGTCAGCAGGGGGCGCCAGGCCCTCAGTCAGGGCACAATGCACGGTCCCAGCAGAGCCGCCCTGCCCCACTCCCCAGAGAGAAGGGAATGTCCTACTCCCAGAGCAAGGCAGAGCCGACACC